CTTTACGGAAGAAAATTCATATTTAATTTAATGCACAATTTGTTTCACATACAGTATTTAAATTTGAATAAATTTCCACTGAGTATCTTCAGTGCTTGAATTCTTTTGCGTTCCGCAACACTGATTGATGGTCATGAAATGACTTGCTTATCGATCCACTTCAAATAATTTTCGCTGCCGCTTTCTATCTAAAAATATAATGGCATATCAGATTTGATTCCAAATATAGAGATCACTTGATCTGGATCACCTGGGATTAGACAATATCTATTGCCACAGCATTATTGATTTGATTTTCCTTACTTCGGGAAAAAAGGAGCGAAATAGAACTTTCTGATTTATCTTTCATAAGATTTGTAGTAAAAAGACTTAACTTGAGAGAGTTCTTCAGGGAAGTGACACTGCAATAAATGGACGGAACAAGACCGTATTCAAAGGCAAAACTTTCACAGTGATTGATTGATATAACGCTTTAGATCATTTTTAATATACTGATGAAGTGGAAACGTAGTGTATTCAGGCTCACCGGTAAAGCAATAAATTCAGGTACTTTGTACGGGTGCATGCTGAGTACTTTTGTTTTTAAGGCATCCAGCGCTGTTGATTTTGTTTTCATGACAAGTAATGATTCTTTATCTTCTTCTACTGTGCCCTCCCATTCATATCTAGAACTCCAGAAATAGAGTGACTGACAAGTTGGGAAAGAATACAGATTCTCAAAGTTCCAATAAATGAATAAGAAAGTAATAAAAGGAAAAAACAAAAATAAAGTGCAGAACTTACGACGAGTGAAGCGTAAGTCTAAGAGTGTTGGGTATTATTAATCAGTCAAAAGCTGCTATAAACATGACATAGATGGGCATAAACGATTTTAAAATATATGGACTCTTCTGCACAAAATGAATCCTCCAAGTACTCATAGGATGAGAACTTACATTGAAGTGATGGTTGGCACGATATTAACACAAGCGGCATATTTACTCTTCACAACTTCTCTGAAACGTTATGGCGAATTAAAAGACACTGCTAAATGAACTAATGGGAAATGTAATTTATAAGCTATTAAACAATGCATACAATGAGGAACGCTTTTGAATGCCCTACGGTAGGGATTTTTTTCATTAATTTTATTCAGTCTCTGAACTGACGAAACAAGTTATTTCGTCAGTAATAAGTTATTTCTCTTATTTCTGTAGAAACAAGAACTTAACCTTTAAAAAAGCAAAAAAGGTACCTAGCAATTTGTTGTGCAACGGTTGAATTTGGAACAGTAACATAAACAACGGAGTATAAAGCTTGACCTATTGATCGAGTAGTAGCCATCAGTTGCGTGAAGAGCTGATACGCCATGAAAAACAGAAAAATTGCAATCACCATGCGAGACATTGTTATTCATATTAAAAAATAAGCTCTACAATAACCGACAATGATTAGTGGTGATGGCCTTCTTTACTATTCCTACAACCTGTGCACAAGACTGAGGTTCAAAAAATTATGTATATCAGCTTAAAGTTCAAAAAAATTATGTATATCAGCTTAAAGTGTAAAAAGAAAAGGAAGCAGCATAAACTGTGAAATGAACTTGCTTTTCTAAACTTACCCTCTTCAGCGATAATAATTCAGCGATTCGTAACAACTTACAAGATTTTAGAATTATCCCAACTTGAAATCAACGACCGATATCTACAAATTTGGTTATAATATCAAAAATCAGCGATGATAACAAAAAACGTAAACGATCACGATGCAAGCCTTATTGACTAAATTCTGACAACTGATATATGGAGTACCACAACGTTTCTCTACTTCTTTCAAACATTCTAATTTAAAAACGAAAATAAGAACACTTCTAAAAAAATTAAAGTCGTGTGTTTTGATCAATGTGTCTTTAAACAGTGTCCATAAACTATGTCAAATTAAATATAATATTAAAAAATAAATATTAAATATTACCTTCCTATTCCTTTTACACAGTTAACAATAGTCAGAATGCCTATATACTTTTAATGTACGTATGCCAATATATTTTACACAAATAAATCTAATTATTAACTTATAACAACTAGAATCACCCATTCGATGATTATGGGCTTCATAACAATTAGAGATAGTGTAAGATGAATATTTTACAGAAACAGAAAACACGAAATATAGTGATAAAGGCAATTTATTTAATAGGTGAGTCATGTATTCGACACTGCGATGCTATATGGAGGCAAAACAAAGGGACATTCGTAGGAAAATTTCCAGCCAAATATTCCAGAGAAAAACGATGCAAGGCAAAAATGCTTCATCATTACAACACAAGAAGATATGCAAAATCTGCATAAAATTATACGTCGTAAAACATAAGTTTGAGATATGGCAACACCAACAGTTCAGTGACGTGTTTGTTCAACCTGAAAGGACGTAGTGGCTTCTGTAGTCCTGAAAATTCTCGTAACAGGAAGAAGTTTGTGGTTTAGTTTTAAAGAAATACCAAATAAAAATTAAGGACTAGTCTTCTAGTTCTCTATTTAGAATGTTTTGAATTAGCAAGAATTAAATTTACGAAAAAACGAAGAACCAAATCCGAAACTTTGAGAAAATTTTCCCGACTGAAGACATTTGAAGAGTAACAAACTAAGGTCAAACGATCAGAAACCGTCCAAATGTCCTTTCAAAGAAAATCTATATTTTCATAGGGCCCCTCCTGTACATAACTGACAGCTTGCGTCCAGATGATTTTTGGACTTTGATGACTTCACAGGAAATTCAAAAAAGGATGGATATGGAAACACTGACCTGGTGTGCGATAATGTCCAGCTGTGGTAGCTTAACGCTAGTTATCGTGTTCAACGGCATCCTACTCTGTTTATTAGAACACGGACATGCCACAGCGGAGATTGCACTGTGTGAAGAAAAATTCATAGCTTCTTTGAGAGTTGCCAAATTTGCTGCTGCAAGTTTTTTTTTTTTCTTCTTTTAAGAACTGAAGGAAAAATACAATAACAAAAAGTATGTAAAGATTTCCAATCAACCACAAATACCTCTTTTAGACTGATTACCTTAGCGATATGGTTACAAGAAAGCAGTTTAAAATTTAAAGTATTTAAAGTAACTAAGAAAATAAAGGGATTTATTTTATGATAAAACCAATTCAAAATGAAAACACAACTTAATAATAAATACGCTTGTAGCTTCCGATGGTGGGTGTCGTAGCACTATCACAAATATGTGATCTTTCTATAGAACAGGTACTATATTTCAGCTAGTTAACTTGAAGAAAACATGCTTTCTCTTACTTGAGACTATTTTAACTTTTTCAAGCTCAAATAGCGTCCTCTACAATGTTTTAATTTATAAACTCAGAATTCCCAAGAAATTTAACCATTTGGACTATATCAATAAGGAATTAGTTGCCTTCAAAATCATATGCCGAGATATGAACAATTTTCCCGACCATTCAACTTGATGCCCTACAACTGCCGACAATACTTTAAAGCTGTTGACTAATTGTAAGGAAACTTAATTCAATAGCATGAACTTGAAATATTTGAAGATATTAATATACGAAATCTCATCTTGATAGATATTCGTATATCACATAATATAAATTAAAATAACTTTCCATCGAAAAAAAAGGTTGTCGGCGAATATGATAAAGACTCGATGGAACGCCGAGCAATTATTTATACAGTTATTGGACAAGACTATGTCACAAAACAGTTTATTGACACTTGCCCGAAATTTCTGCAGAATGGTTACGAAGAAGAATATTTACTGTTCACTGATAAATTATGAAACCTAAAATTCATTTTAGAAATTTGTTCAATAAATGCACCTTTAACTCATTTTCATCATTCAGTCAGCCAATTAAGCGGTAGTACGGTCCTTACTACAAGATGCAGATTTAATAAGCTAAACAAAAACAGTGGTACAGTTCAAGTACAAGCGAACTAGAAAAAATTTAGTTAGAGCAGTAATGTCGAGAAAAACCTTATCTGCACGTATGACTTCAAGACTTATAAGAAATCTAGAATACTGAAATAGATCAAAAATCTAAAACAGCAGAGGAAGAATCTCACGCCCCATAAAAGAACGCTTTCATAACCTTTTATAGGTCATACGACAAGTGACTGCTAACCAAAGAAATTTTCACGCCAGACATGCCATTCAGTAAACAGCGTATATAATCAATATGCATAACAAGTAAACGCATGCAAAATATCAAAATTTTCTGAACATCTCGAATTTCCGCACCCTTCAGAAAACAAATGTCACAGCACAACCTACGAGACAAAACATATAATATCTTACTTTAATAATAATAAACATATTATAGATCTCACCTCAAAGACAACAAATAATTAACCAGGAATTAAAATACCTGGATACCCGCAAAACAACAACTAGCAATTTGTTACGGGGAGAAATAAATGATACAACACAATGGGAAAAAGTGTAACATTTTGAGGAAGAATCAACAACTAAAAAAAAGTTAAAAACGTTTAAAAGACATCTTACTAATGTAGCAAAAGAGGTGAAACACTACCAAATGTTAACAGTGGTATTTGTCTGTTAGACTAAATTTGCGTTATACATTTGCCCGTACATAACGCATGCAAAAATCAACGTACATAACCAAAGCTCGAAGAAATATAAATAGTGATATCATTTTTTTTTTTTTTTGCTAAGGCACAGATATACTATTGTTTTCATTTGAAAATTACAAACTATTTTTAAAAAAGATTAAAATTAAAGGCACGTGGACAAAAAAAAATTGAATTTGAATACTTCTGTTTCCATAATTTGAGTCATAATGAAGAAAGGACATAGTGGAAAGTCCATTTCCTTCTCTATACCGTTGTGGTATCAGTCCAGATGGTCTGAAAGGTTGAAGTTAAACAATTAGATTCAAAACAGTAAATGCATCACTCTTCAAGAAAGAAAGATATTGTAATACTCACTATAGTATATCTCAGAAATTTCCAAAATATTGTTTGTTAGACAGAGGAAACTTATATATATTTATTAAGCATAATTTTTTGGCTAATAATTCTTCCCGAACGATATATGAATGCATCAATCAAGCTTGCAACCGTGAAGATACCACCAATAATAGCACATATTGAAACCAGAAATGTAGATAGACTCCTGAAAAAAAAAATTCCTTCACTAACTAAGAACTTAGATTCCCTTCGTATCTAAAATTGAATGATCAACTTTATATATTTATACATATATATGTATCCAACTATTCGGAATTAATACGAATTCTAACATATAAATCTTGAGAAAAAATATGTAAGCACAAAATATATCTGAAAGAAAATGAACTAACAGAATTCATAAATAACTAAATTTCTATGAACATGATCGCCGTAATTACTCAAACTTCCCTATAAAGTTTTTGATGTTATGGTGTCCACTGTGCTTGGCGATGATACAAAGAAATCGCTTATTTTAAGTTGTTGACTTCAACTTCAAATCACGGATAAGGATGTAACAATAAAAAAATCCACCTTACCGAAGAATTATAATATCAATTAAACCCTCTCCGCCTTTGAATCTGGGAAATTGCAACAGTAATTTTATACTAATGGCACTCAAATCATAAATATTTCAAGCAGATCTTAATTCAAAATAATTGTTACAACATACTGTCGCCTTTCCTCATATTTGACCATCAACGGTGAAAATTCATACTGTATGAAAAAACCAGGTAAACCGGACGCTCCCTGAGATATATCTTTTTGATAAGTAGTGACTGAGAAAAGGTGACTGAAGATATTCCGAGTAGAATCCAAAAAAACATATGAAGTTGGTACCAATTTTAGATGATATTGATACATTATACCTAAAGAATCAAATTTCTAGAATTATTCCACTTTAACGAGAGCATACCTTATTAAAGATAAAGGTTATCAAAACTTAAAGCTGATTTCAGAGTTACCTGAGTCCTTTGCAGATCCAAAAAATTTTCCGTCCAATGGATAAACCTTGCCTGGAAATGAATTTCCAAAAGATAAATGATTGACTGTATGACTCGTGTCGAATTTTGAAGGTGAAAGAGAATGTAAATCATGAACTGAAAAAAAAAAAGATGAAGAAAATATGTTCTCAAAGTGATAAAGTAACTTCACCAAAATATTCAACGTGTAAATATTTCTTGTAAAAAGTAAAACATGCAATACCAATATGTACTTAGCAGAAAGTTCAGCAGTTCCGTTCTCAAAAAATTACAAAAATATTGCAAAAGTGTATAAGAAGGTTTCAAACCAATTCTCCAGTAGCCATACTTTCTGGAAACTTTTCGGAAATTTATTGCTAATCTTACCCTAGTTGCCATCACTTAAAGCATTAGAAATAAGCAAACATTATCATTAAGAAAATGAAAGACAAAATTTTAATGATTTTACAATGCGATCGATGGGCTTTGAGTGGATCACCGGGTGCAATATGGAAATTACCAGCAACCTGGAACTAACTGCAGATAAACAGCTATGTAAACCGAAAAATTTAAAATTCAATTACTCAGAGTTAAGTCTAATTGTAATTACTCGTGCTCTCCTCCGCCATTTTTTTTTTCAAATTTGATCATTTAAAAGGTCATTTATTTCAAAGAAATTTCAGTACAGCCAACAGGAATTACAAACCTTGGCGACTTGGACCTTGCCATAAACTCGACAACCTTCATTTTTATGTTCGTTCATTTTTTTAACCCACAAATCGCTTTTACATTGCTCAACAGTTTCTATATTGACTAATTCCCATCCTTTTTTAATATACGCTTCTTTCACCTCTTCACATGTATTACAACACCTACGAAAATAACATTACTAAGGTACTGCAATTAAACTGAACATAAAATAATTATACAAAATTTCGCTTTCTGTTAGAACATAACCAGTGCACAAAAAAAAAATTTTTAAATATATAGAACATAACCAGTGCACAAAAATTTTAATATATAAACACCAAATATATTGATGCTACTGGAGGTAATACTGACTAATTTCTCTCCAGTATTTTTAACTTGTGCACATTTTTATTCTTCAGCAGAACAAGAATTTAATTAAATTTTCAACACAAAAATTTCAAACTTAAAAAGAATATACAACAGGAATACCCGTCTTTTGCCCCATAACAACTACCACACAGAATTTGAGAAGCAGGAACTGACGATACCGTGGTCGTATTAATATTCACTCCTGAAAAGTTTATCACGCGTTATATTTAATCGACCGAATGTTAAGTATTATAAAAAATACATTAATTCAGTGTATTCCAGTGCGCTTCGCATGATCAACCGCAACTGTAAATAAATCAGAATTGCATAATTTGAGTTCTAGCTTTTAGCTGCTTACGTTTCAATAACAAAGAAGTTTTACAAACTTAAAAAATTTGACTATTACATCAATAGTACAACATGAATGATAGAAAAGTGATGGAAGACAAATGTCAAAACAGTGTTTATGTCAAGCCATGTAGAACAGATAGATAAAATTCAAGTTATTCAAGATATAATTTCAAGACAGTTTCAAGATAAAATTCAGGATAGATAAAAAGTCTAATCCCTTGACAACTAATAAACTAAATTATATTGAAAAACTCAAGAATCTGCATCATAAAACGCGAATAAAATTTTAATCAGCTTTCATAGTGCAAGGTAATTTTGTCAAGGATAGTTTCAAAATGTAAACGAACAATCCTAGAGAAAAATACTAGCCTTGTCTGATTCCATTTCCTTCTTTCCCATTCAACAAACTTATTTTGTATACATCATCCTTGATATCATCCTGATTATCACCACTTAAATCCATTACATCAATTGTTATCACTAAAAAATATAAGGAAAAAATATCGCAATACATATATTATGAACAAAGAAAGGAGAGTATTAGATGAGTTAAAGAATTTTATAGGGTTCATTTTACTATTTACACCAAAAATTGGTTGAAAATATTAAACGAGAACAATTCGAACCAGAACAAGGTAAACGAGGAAATGTGATGTCAAAATTAACATCGACTCGTTGTTCGGCAGGTGTCGAATCTACATAAAGCTGTTCAACTATATCCACTGATAGAAACGACAGGGTTTCTGATACAAACATGAATATAATCACGGCGCTGCTTACTAGAGTAACTACAAAAAGTACAAATTATAAATTCTGTCGAGGAAAGTCTAAAAATCTTAAAATATTTGACAAAAAATATGACAAAATCCAAATTTGCTCATCAAAAATGGCAAATGCTTCTAACAAATTTCCTCTTAACACCTGATGAAAGACAGTTCTCTTCTGTTTTGGAACATTGATGATTTTGAACAATTCTTAAATGTAAAATTAAAGTGTTGACATTTGCTATGTAATACGTTCTATAACCAGTTCAAGTAGAATTTTTTGTATATAATCCTATATTATCCATACTACTAACCAGCTCCACCAGCAAAAGTACGGACACGGAAATCATCCAACGGTTTCGTGTATGCATCGAAATCTTTGAGGCGTTCCAGTAACGACATATGTTTGAACAGAATAACTGATTCCGGAAAAAATGTATTAGCTACTAGTGATAGAATCAACTGGGTAAATACAAAAAAAATTAAATGAACACTCATACGTCGCTGTACTCAACACGAGTAACGCTACCACTTTAAGAAAGGACTCCCATTCTCAAAAAGCTTACTGCGTCATACTCCTAGACCGAACCTCGCCTCGTGACATCATCTCCTATCTTCCTTTCCACTTTTCCGTCAGCCAGAACAAAGACTCACACTACACGAGCGTGTTCCGTTAGAGTTGGAGCGTCACGCAATAGTGCGTTTCATCTCACGTTAAACCTGAGTAAACCGAATAATAAGTATAGTCGGAAGAACGAGGAGGGGTTGTTTGGGTTAGTCAGATTGAAACTGAAACAGAACTTTTAATTTATAAAATTCATCATTATTTTTTACTTCATTCCAGAAATTATTTACAATTATTCAATTGAACCTCAACCCGATGTTAAGTATTTCATTCATCGATATTTAAATATCACTTTGTCACTGAAACAGAATAGTGAATTTCTTGCACCTAAGTCTTTTTCAAGAGGCTGAGTTACGGAAAGTGAGCCGTCCATTCTCCTCATAAAAAAGTGATAATTTGTATAAATTTGTTGTTATCTGTTCGAATAACTAAAGTTCGATTCAGTCTGTTGGAATTTGCATACGTCAGTTAAAAATATACTGAAATAAATTTAACTAGATGTTGGTGCAAAATAGTTTATTGTCTTGCGTAGATATCATTCCAATTCGGTGCATTGATTGTAATGTTGCTTGGAAAGTTGCTGTTGGCGTTTTTGCTACTAGCGATCCTGAATATCCTCGATGGTCAGGTATTGTTGTTATTGCTTCACATGGCATATTCTGGTCCTTTTTTTTGGAATGAATTGATTAGTGAATTAAACTATAATTTCACAATGTTATTTTCTTTACTTCCTGCCGAATGTGAGTGAAATTTTTGCTGACTAAACTCCATATATCGTTAGTACTGATTTTTAAGGTGCCTGGAGCAAGAGTATCTACCATGGTAACCAAATACATGACTCCAGTGATAACAGCAAAAGGTAATCTTACATATGAAAGTCATGCATCGAACATCGAACAGCTGCAATTTGTCATTTCAAAAGAATCCACGAAAGGACGCGCTAAGCATCCAAATGTTACTTTTGCTATTCAAATCACTCGGAAATCATGTAAGGCGTACGTCTTTGAATACAATAAAGCTGGATCTTAAACAACAGCCTTGTCTAGTTGAATGTAATTTCAGACAGCTACCAGTTTGTACGGATTTTGGCTATCTTTTCTGTCTTTTACTAGAAATTTCAGTTTAGATACACATGCATACACTATGCTCATTAAAGGGTCTGAATTTTCCAGAAAGACGACTCGAACTGGAATAAGGGCTTGAATCTTAAAAACTCGCGCATAATCAGTTTTTGTATCGTTATATTGTTGTCATAATTTCTATTATTTCCTTTCACTAATATTTTTTTTTTTTTTGATTTTTTTTTCTTTTTTTGGGATTTGTATAATTTCGTCACCTTCTAAACATTTCTTTTCCTGTGTTATTTCCTTCGTTTTCATTTTTTCTTTGTGGCCAAAAATTTGTCGGAAAAAATAGGAGTTTCAGGATAAAATTATGTTTCGGAAATGAGACCAATTTATTTCGTCATTTGGAATTACTCTCAAAGGTAAAATTTGGTGAGAAAAGTTACAACAGGAAGTTAAGCCAGGGAGTTTTTGCACTGGTGGAACGTTCGGCATATGAAGTAGATGCGTGCTCGGGAATGACGGCAATCGAATGGGAATTCCCGGGAGTGTGGACATGGAGCAATACGAGTCAGAAAAAAGGATATATGTATTACTCAGCTTTATACAAAGGTATATTTATTAGGCATATGCTGTAATCTTCCATATCATCCACACTTTTAGATCTAATACATTACCGCTGCCTATTTCCCTGTTACTTATGTCGATTCTAATTAAGACAGAAACACAAAAAAAAGTTTTCCAAAACTGCGATGTTTTCAAAACAATTTTAGATAATTATACTATTAATAAGTTAATTACAAATTACAGGTGGAATACCAGACAGCTATCGCAGTAAAATGAGTGGTATGTCAAATGTCGAAACAATTATCATACATAATGATGTATTTTTTTCCAAAAATTTTCAGAGAAAAACTTTTCCTATTTTATTTTTGCACAAGCTGCAGAATTTTATAACTTTTTTAAAGTTGCTTACAAAGAATTGATCGGATTGTTGTTTGGTTTTGAAAAATCATTTATCTTTTGAAACAAGAAATTTTTTAAATATTTTAATGCACTCGATAGCTTACGATTATGCACAGACATCATGAATAATACTTTGGAATAAGATTACCAAAAAATTCGTTTAATACAAAATAGAACAATGCTACAGGTCTGTAGATGGCTTAGTGATATAAGGAAAGGCTTGTTCAGATAAGATAATGACTATTTATTGATCAGATCATCTCTAAAAATATGGCTGTTAGAATGTTTAACAGTGTAAAGTTGAGAAAAAAAAAAAAAAAAAAAAACATACGCAGTCCTTTTTGGCTTTCTGATTTTGGGAAAATTATTCTAGTATCTTTCTTCGGATTGGCCTTCATTTATTGTAGTTAGTTGTTCCGTTATTTTTGTTGCTGTTATTACAGCTTGATTCAAAACCGCAGAAACTTGGTTTGGAAGTACGACATGGGCCAACACTTTTCAACAAGCCTATAGATGAAACAACACCTGCCTACACTACATTTTATGAAACATTCGATCTGTGGTCCAAATCGAAAGCATTATATTTTGTTTTAGCTCAGGATGCCAATAAATGCGGGGCGCGTTTTTCAGTAAGTAAAACTGGATTTGTAGTTTTGAAAGTGAACCATCTGCTTATCTAAGTAAAACATGAATATGAGAAATTCTTCTCTAAGCTTTGCAAGTACACTTCAAAGAAAAAGATCTACTTAGTGACAATTTGCAAAAATTCAGCTTAGAAATACCATTTTTCAAAATGAAGCAACTTGTCCCAATGTCATCTTTGACCATGCATGCAAACTAATGTCCATGTGATTTAGCAGATGTAAAAATTATAAATGCATTCCGATATATTCATTCGATTTCAGGCACCGTTGACTACTCACACATTCATGAAACGTGACGTTATTTTCAATTTCCGTCCTGGAATAGTGTAAGCATTCCTCAAATCTCGGTTTCAAGTTCTGTTTGGCTTAATTTTAATACCTAGTTGAACAAATGAAGTATTGAAAATAATTTTCACATAAGCGCAATATTTTCCAGATACCGCGTCAGAAAAGGTATAAATATCTGGTCCATACCTCTTGGTTTCATTGTTGGTACCTGTGTTGGGTATGTATTCATTTTCTTCAAAATATGCTGCAAAACTTACATTGGTTTCATTTTTTTCTTCCAGGTTTCGAGTTCTCTTTAAAATGTTAAAACTTGCCTGTTAAAAAAGTGGCCCAGCTTAAGTTACAAGTACAAAAGGCAACCTATACACTTTTCATTCAGCAATTATAACATCCTTAAAGAACTTCCCTACTAAATTACTTGGCTTTTTAAAAACGTTTGAATTGATCAGAATGCAAAAAATTGACTACTTTAATAATGTCATTCGTAACATTATTTTCCGACAAACAAAATTCTTGACTAAATTTTGTAGAAGCTAGCAGAGTCAAAAATAATGCTATTGATTGATTATCCCAAAGATTTCAAAGCATTACGCACACACACTTTATTTGCAGAGTTTTTGGAGCTGGTTTTTTGCTGTGCCGAAACTCCAAAAGTTTTTATAAACGGTGGAATGCGCAAATGAGGAAAACGTATGGGAAATTCGCAAATGCCGACGTCTCTTTATATTTCTTTCCTCCAAATAATAGTGCTACTTTTAGACAGAAACCTTTTCCCACGACACTTAGGATTTTTAAGGAACTGGAAATGATCTATAGAGTGATCCACGGTTCTTTTTAAAAAGTCAAAATTGAACGGTTTTTTCAGTCCTCATTCCAATGTTTTATTATATGCAATTCGTTATAGGTGACAACAATGGGAGGTGTTTCACAAGCAACTATAGCTGGTGGCATATCTCAAATGACGGGGGTATCACAAATGGGTGATACTACAATAGGTTCTCCCAGTAATATAGGAGGTAAAAACCATTTTATTTTGAAGCAATACTCAGCAGAAGAGAACAATAGATTGAAGAGATTGGAGATTTGATCCAAATTAAAGTGATTCCAATTTTCCGCACAAATCAATTGAACTTGAAAGGCATTTTGTTATTCCTGGATCTACCGCATGTATATTATTACTGTTATAACTTCTTTTTCAGATGTATCGCGGGTTAAGTGAAGTCACACGTGTAGTCTATTAAATGAATCGATTTCTTTTTTCCTCTTAATGTATAATGTTACGATTTAAAACAAATGATAAATCCCACATAGAAAAAGAATTTGTGACAAATAAATGTTTTGCCAATAAACGGCAAATAAACTTCTTTGTTCCACTGTATACCAATTTCATTGTCACTTTAAATTAAGTGCTCATATATGAATGCTATGACGTTTCGTTGTGTGGAAACGATAAGTTAAGACTGATACTGACTGTAATATCATTAGCACTGTCCCAGCACATGCTTTTAAATGTTTTGTTTAATATCAAAATTATGTTTTTAGTTTCAACTTTTTTTTTAATCAGTAAGTGTCAGTAAATTAATAAGTGCTAAAGCCAGAGAAACTCATAAACACATAAATGGCCTATCCAAAAAACTAGGAATCCAGAACCAATGTGTAATATATAAAATACAATTTTCTTTACGTGAGACTAAAATTTATCAATGGCTGAGCTCGTTATTTAGTTGTAGTTGGATGTCCAATTAATTGGTAATCTTTTTTCTACGATTTTTTCTTTTTTGATATTTAACCTTTGTTGAACCTTTGTTAACCTTTATCACTTCATTGCCAATGTGACTTATTTCAATTGTTAGTGGAGAATTAAATATTTCTGAAAATTAGAACAAACAATGTCATTTATTGTTATGACAAACGTACTACTTTTGTGCTAATTTTTATCACTTACTCCTTTTCCTTTTGCCCATCCAGAAAATTCCTCTTTCAGTTATTAGATCTAATGTTTATAGTAGAATTTTCCGAAGTTCACTGTTCCTGTGTTATTTATTCATTTTGTCATAATGAGTGGATGTAGATTTAAAAAAAGCAAGTGAATATCGATCGTTATTTATTATCAAAATTTAAAAAATTTGCTGTTCGGTAAAGGGTTTCGTTTTTGATAAAATCTGAATAATAAAACTGAATATAAAATTTAAATCTCATTTTACCATCGAGGAGTGCTAAGTTGAACGAAATTTTGCGGACGAAATAAGTTGAACAAAATTGAAAATTTTTTCGATTAAGTGAGATGATCGGTCGCCGAATGTTTCAACTTCTTTATTAGTTAAAAACATCGTACTTATGTTGTAAACTTTCTGTCGATGAGTTTTCGAAGATATGTCAAATCATTTACGATTGCCTTTGAATCTGCATCGTACTTATGTACTTCTCTCAGTGTCTCTCCAGTAGCCAATAGCTGCAGTACGTCAAAAGTTGATATATTAACATATCATTTTTATAATGTTTCAGTAAACTTCAAATCTGCTGGACGGGAAATGTAGAAAAAAAGAGAGAGAATAAGTAATACTAAAATCCACATTAAGTTAGCTTAGAAGTAATTAAGTTAGCATATAAATGAAACGATATATAAATAGTGCAAACCTTAAGATTAGAAATATTTCTCAGAGCTTTTCGAAGAGCCAAGCAACATTCATTTATGTTTTGCACAAAATCGCTTATCTTGGTCTCTGTTGTAAAATTTTTTCCCTTTAAAACGAATTATCAGTAATATTTTAAAACTGATATTTAGTATATATTATAAACTAATTTGAAAAAAAAACTTTTAGAGGAAAAAAAAAATTAAGATTCCATTTTTTCATTCGGTTCATTTGTAACAAAACTTCCTAGCTGTTGAATTCAGAGAAAAGGAACCTTTAGCAAATCAGGTGTATGATTTTGAGAAATTTTAACTGGTGGCGCTCTTTCTTGCAGTAAATCAATCCCACTTTGTTTGGCCGACTTCTTTTGCGCAGATTCTTCACTGTTATTTGCCGTAAATCTGTCATAAATTTTAACGAACTTTCAAAAGCCGTTCAAAATTCTGTTGTAGAAAGATGTGATCTCAAACTTTATTTGAATCAAGATTTTCAAGATTCGTAGAATATTGTTCGCCCGTCAGCTCGTTGAACAATTGTGAAATAAACAGATGATACCTCAGCTTGGGCAAGTAAATAAAATTGGGTTTTTTGCAAAGCGGAAAACATGTCGTATATGCCAGTCTACTTATCTCGTATCCATCACGAGTACACTGAGTGATGCATAGTTCTTGCAATAATTCGGCTTTGTTCATAATTGCTAGTTGATATGGGTTTTCACGTCCTTCAACTTTTTGGCTATCACGTGATGGTAATGCTGGAGGCGAACTTGACGTCCCTAATTGACTGCTTGGCTGCAAACACTCTCGCAGTAGAAAAGAACAGCTTAGGAGAAAAGGGAAATTATGTGTTAAGAAGAATAAGAGTTGTTTTAATTATGAATAAGAAATGGAATAACTAAAACCAAATTCGGAAATTTTGGAAAAGCGCTGGCCTTTCCTTGCCCGGTAACTTCTCCTGATGTGGACATTTTGCCTTGATTTGCACTTGTCATTTCTCCAGATTCCTTATCTTCTTTTTGTTTCTCCTTCATCGCTGCAGCTAAGGTTGATGACTGTGGTAGTGGCAGTGTTGGTGGGCGTAAAGGTGACGGAATATCTTCTTTCGTTCCAATTACATCCTTTTGGCTTTTGTGCAGGCGTTTTGATTTATGCCTTCTGTGACGACGGTGGTGTTTTCTTCGATGAGACTCATTTTTCTGAAGAACTAAGCTTGCATGAAGTTTACTTATACAGACTAACATCTCTTAAGGCAAAAGTAATCTCTAAAGTTAACCTAATCCTCTACAAAGATAGTTAATACAATGAAAATTCCATCAGGTTTTTGAACAATAAGCAGAAGCCAGGAATTTATTTTAACTTTAAAAAAAATTAAGTATTTCTCTAAGCACTTGCAGAATTAATTGCTTCTATTGAAAAAAACAATTTTCAAATAACATTCTCACTCGTCTGGGACGACCACAACAGGAAACATCATCTTTACCCTCCGAACCCCCGAGTTTTCGATCTCTATGGCGCTTTCGCATATTGCGCTTATCTTTACCATTCTATAAGAGAAACAAGAAAATGAAATAATCTCTGTATTTATTTGAAGTACCCAAAGTACCTGAATTTCTATATTCTGTTACTTCAACAAGAATATTGCTTAATATAGTGTTTTTGGTCTCAATGGCACTTTCGCATATTCATTAATCTCTCTTATCGGATTCTGATCAATTTTTGATTATCAGTTAGTTTTTTAAGAAACAATACAATTGATAAATCGATAGAATTGCATAATTGCACAAGCTTTTTCTAAGGATTGATATGCATTTAAATTAAGTCTGTTTGTGAATTCGAAATTTTAAATTTAAATTTCATGGAATCCTTATTTATTTGCTGGACTTTTTAATATTTCAAGATAATTTAATTTTTTGCAATTTATGCTCCATTCTTTCCTAATTCCCAATTAACGTCGTTCTTACTTTAAGCTTTATATCTTCGAATGACTGAAAAGAGTGACACTAGGACACTGTTGAATCGCATTAGATGTCATAAAATACGACCAAACATACCCCTCTGCGCTTTCGAGAACTCGATTTTAATCTATCGTCTCCTTCATCCATTCTTCTTTCTCTGTGATGTTTGATCAGTTGGAGTGCGTAAAAACAACCAAAATATCGAATGAAGTATCTTGAATACACTAGCCTTTTATAAGTGATGAATAATTCTGTAGCAAAATTTCAAGAAATCAAGATTTGCATATTCATAATTGAAATAAAGGGTAAAAGGGATAAAGTCATATTGATAAAAGTGAAAGGATAAAATCACTAATAACAACATTATAAGGTTAAACTTAAATTTCATCGGTAAAAATGTATTACTCTTCGTGAAATGCAAATGATTATGTCGCATGATATCATCTTATTTGAACAATCTGAAATAACGTCATGATCAATTTTTTCATTTAAACATTAATGCAATATTTTGGCGGAAAAGTGCAAATACACTAAATCAAATTTCTTTGTGTTTTGTACATTCTCCAAGTTATTTTCTGTCTCAAATTTGATAGTGAACAAAACAAGCGTGAAGTAAGATTTTGAACTAGCTACATACATATTTATATTTCTCTTTCTAACAAAACTCATTGAACAAATTGAGTCAATGAGTTAATAAGTACTTTGTAAATATTTTAAGGTTAGAAACTTTTGAAACAGAGGAATAAAATTAGGGAAAGAATGAATGTGAATTGTCCATTGACATCTGAATGCCAGAAAACATTTCTTTGTTCTCAACCAATGCGAAAGTTATGGAGTCTTCCAGGAAAATTGTGCAGGGTAATGAAATAAGAATATGAACTTAATATTAATTACAAATAATGAAATAACAATACAGTCTTAATATTAATAAGAACAGTGAAAATGAAGCTCTTACAAATAATTTCAAATTAATAAAGGAAAATATTAATGGTTATTCCTTTTTAACATCGGATAATTCGAAATTAGACAATATTAAGAAACTTATATTATTTGGCTGAGTTGATAAGTTTTTCTTGACTTGATAAAATTTTAATTTTGACAACTTCGGGACACTCACCTGGATTTGATCGAGTTACTAGTTCCAGGATTAATTAGAAAAAAAGATAATAAAGGTTGGAAATTAATTAGATGCTTCTAATCTTTTTTCTTTTATCCAATGATTTTTTTTCTAAATAAATTTTTAAAAAATAGCATATTTAAAAGACACGAAATTTATGAAGTCAATATTGTTTTTGCCTGCATTTATTTTCCAAACAGCTAAAATTTTTCTTGACTTTCATTATCAATACAGAAAGGATAAATATTTTTGAATGAGTGTAATCCAGTTGGTTGCAAATAACACAAATGAATTTCTAACAGCGAAGTATTTTCCCACTCAAAGTTTTTCTTGTTTGTCGCGAATTTTGATTTCAGTCAAAAAATATTTTGTTTATTCTTTCTAAGGAGAATATTTTGTTTGTCGATACAACAAGGCTTATATATTAATAATGAAGTTCTTATGCTTCTTTAAACTTTGTTTATTTTTAATAATTGATTTTCATTTAAACTCATTTACCCAGATTTTTAAGGTAGAAAGTAATCTTTTCACTGAAATGAAAAGTACACCGCAAGGAAGGAAAAATTACATATCAATTAAATTGAGAGGTCAAAATTAGAGATACGAGAATCTTATTTTGGGGTAAAATTGTCAGTTGGAAAGAAAAGAGCTCAAGAAATATTTATTTGATTACTGGGAGATTGGTGCTTGAGCAATATCTTGATTTAAAGTTTTTAAGTATATTTTAAAGGAGGGAAACATGGGTGAAAAGGGAAAGTAACCAATGTCAATGTTAAGCTGATATGTGTTTAAGAATGTTTTTAGCAAAACAGATTAAATTCTAGGCCGATCTTTTCCAAAGGATTAGTAATTTGTGATTAGTTAAATGACTTGTAACGAAGATTTTTCATTTCTAACCATCACAAACAATTTGTAAATTACAAGGGTTATATTCTTATAAAGATGGTATGAATGTGTTGAAACTTGTTTTCAATGAAGGAAAATGGCATAAACTAATTTATGTTAATGTATTTCAGAGTTAACATATCCCGCACTTATCTCCAGTTGACTCTTTCCATCATCATTTTTTACATAGTTATCCATTAATCGACATGAATGTGTAAATATGTATTATTGCTGTCGAAAATTTGCTTTTTCCATAATACGAAAAAATTTTCTTAAATCTTGTAGAAAGAAATATGATTTAATGCGTAAAGATGGTATAAATGTGTTTATCATTTACATTTAGCACTGAACTACATTAACAAAAGTTTGTAAATAAAAAAAAAATTAGCATCATTCTGTCTTTGTCAGCAAAACGACTTTTTCCTCCTACACTGACCAAAATTTGATTTTGGGTTTTCTTTCGGGCTTTGTTTTGGAATCCGACAATGACATGCAACTAATCAGAAGACCAAAACAAGGCTATAATAATCGTTCATACAAGGCTATCCGACCTTAGAAAATGTGAAATGTCACTTGCATCCGCAAGTGTTTTTAGAAGCATAAGAGTTTTTGAAAGAAATAAATTGAGAAAATTAGTCCGAAGTATTTTTCCACATCTGACCAACTGAAAAAAAATACTTTAATTAAGAGATGTTTGCCAGCTAGATTCTGTTTTTTACGCCATTTTTAATTGATGTAAGTGTTGCAAAGATAAAGAAACATGAACTTCGAAAAGAATAAAATCAACCAAACTGCTGAATTTCAAACTGCTCAGTTGTGTCGGCAAAGACGAAAAAAACATTCCGAAAATTTAATATCAATTGGATATTCCTTCATAAAGCGACAAGGCATGAACAATAGATGGATCCGCTTTTGCGCCCTCTTTAAATTCTTCTAGTGTTAACTGAGCATCGTTATTCTGCAATAATTTATTCGTTTTGAGCAAAGTAACTCTGGTATTCAGATAGTTCTAATTCTACAAGAATTCAACAAAGGTCACCTTGGACAATGAAATGTGCTTGTCTTAGCTCACTGTACAAATCGCAGCAAAAAATTCTGCAGTGACAAGGCTTTAAAAAGGATTTTTTATAATGGCTATCAACTTCAGGAAATTGTTGAATAAAAAGATTACTTATTAATGTTTAATAAAATCGATAAATTCGATTACAAAAAAAAACTCAATGAAGTTTAATTTACTTTGTCCATCATTTTAAAAATTCGATCCACTCTTTTTTCTGGCGTGTTCTCTTCTTTCGGCAATTTCACCGTTGAACCTACCATTTTATAAATACTTCCAACAATTGATAACATTTCATCTCGTGTTATAAAGCCATCGTTGTCCAAATCGTATAATCTGAAAGCCCCTGTAAACAGACAACTTAGGTTGTTGGACTAAACATCTGAAATTTATATTTTTCCAGTAGTATATTCAAATACCTTGTAATTGTAATTTCTGGTTTAAATCACCTTTTATCAAGTCTTAAGCTAAAGCACCAAGAAATGCTATTTGGAAATGGTTCATTATCACAGAATTCTTTCATAACCATCAAAATTATTTCTTCTTGGGCGCTTTTTATGGTGTTATCGGGCAAACTTTCAGTTTTACTGGCAGAAAGGTCAGCTTAAATTAAAAATTTATAACTATTGCTTACAGTGTAATTTTTCGTCCAGATTACCCCTAGATGTAATTGACAAGGCTCTGATAAATTCGTGAAATTCGATCGCTCCATCCTGCAAAATTTATATTTCAGTTTAATTCTCTTCCAAATTTTATCAGTGATAATAGTTAGCGTAAAAATTTTTGTATACAAAATATATTTGAAAAGATTCAGTTTATAGTTATTAATGCACAAAATATTGTGTTATTTTTATTTACATGTAAGTTCACTTTCATTTTCAACTTCGAACTAAAATAATTTAAAATCTATAAAATAATGTTGAATATGCATAAACGATATCGACTAGAACACTATCACTTCACGTGAATTAAAACTTACAAATTGAAATGATGTATAGTATATTCGAAAAAAATAACATATTGTTCTTAAGAATGAAACAGAGCAAGCAATGTTAAATTCTATTGGGAGGATTGCTCTGATAAGCATTGCTAATGAATTCGAAACAAATAAGGGAGTGAAAGCAAGGACTCATAAAATTTGTTCATTCACTAGAGCTGTCTACGTCATAGCAAAGTTGTTATTAGCCTTAAATATTTAATATTCTATCTAATTTTCATCTAATGTAATGATTTCTTGTATCAGTTGTTTATTATATTAAAAAGCATTGATTACCTTGTTTTCATCAAAAACTTTGAAAACGAATGATGCAAAGTCTGACGGATCACCTTGTGGAAAAAATTGTTTGTATATTTTTTGGAAACCCTATAATTTAAGAACAATTTGTAAAACTTTCAAGAATGGCGTTTAGTTTTGCTAAATTTGTTATTAAAATGCACAAGCAAGTTTTTAAAAACTTCCCCATCAGTCAATTAATTTAATACTTTCACAAATGAGTATGATGTTGATGC